TGTTATGTACTGTTGTACAAACTGAGGGCTGCTGCCCACCACGTTTATCCACGGTACGATTGCTTCGCGGTACGTGGCCGAGAAATGTATTTTCTCTTGCTTAGGACGAATTAATAGAGGCACTTTGTAATTGTTAAGGAACACTTTAATGCGGAGATTACACAAAGAATGCCACTTGTCTGGCAATAAGGGAACTGAGCCCTTTACAAAACGTCGTGGCACGTGTTTATCCCACGACTTGATACAGAGTAATAATGTCCGATCGACAAGACGATCGATGATGATGCGCGAGCGCCCCGATAGCAGCGCCTGAACGGATAGGAACTACCAAATAACTAGCGCCGCGGACGCGAGCTCCGCGGACAATGTAAACGTGCGAAATTAAGATTATGATTTATCCAACAGATTCTTTTAGAGCGTTACATGGTTCCAAATTTAGAACATATGAATTAGCGAGGCAGATTTCTCGTTGGATCCCGATTAATATATGTGAAGAATTTTTTCTAAGACAAGAACAATATTTGTTGTGGTTTTATCAGCAAGAACAAAAAAGAACTTCAGTTAAAATAAAGTGGCTTATTTCTAAACATAATAGAGACACTATTGGTAATATAAATCCCATACAGTATTTTTGTGTTAACAATGAACAGTTTGGTTGTATGAGGAATGTGAGAAATAATAAGTCATTTACTGCTCATAATGGACAATATATTGCTTTGAGTCACAGTAACACAAAATTAATAGATAGTAAGACATAAATTGTTGTTGATCCATCTTCATTTTCTGATAATTTGTTAGATATGGACGAAGTTTCTTCTCTGACGAAATTGAAAGAAGGGTGGTTTATTAATTTGTCTGACATACCGGAAGATTCACAATGCTTGTTACAACTAGGTGATACTTTTGCTTATCATATCAATCACAACGAGAAGAACTGTATTGAACTCATTAAGAATATTGAAAATAACATTAGAAAATTAGACATTACTAAAAAAATGACAATAAGAAATAGAGCTTCACCTATTATTGAAAGTATAGCAAATGGTTCAATACAAAGTAACGTTACCACGAAAAGAATTTTAAGTATGTTGGAGTCAACTAAGGTTTTTATCAGGAATAATCCACAAATCATTTTTACAAAAGCTGATAAGGGTAACATAACAGTTGTTCTTGATAAGAATGTATATAGATCAAAAGTATTAACGATGTTAAACGACACTGAAACATATACAATTGTTAAACGTGATCCAACGAGAAGTCTCACTGAAAAAATTAGAGATTTGCTCACTAAATGGAGGAAAAAAGAATACATCACACAAGGCACATATAAACAGATATATTGTAGTGATGGGAATTTGCCGAGAGCCTATGCTGTGCCGAAGGTGCATAAAGAAGGGATCCCATATAGAATTATCATATCTTC